GCTGTAGTTTCCTGATTAGCCAAAGGTACATGAAAGGATCACAGATCTGAGACACAGACGAACCACGTCAGTCAACAAGTGTTCAGTTTTTAAAGTGCTCCACAAAAACCATACTGATGTTACACGGAAATGGTGTGCTTATATCAAAGCAAAGATGCTGCAACAGTGCAGTGAATGTAACCAGGGTTAAAGTACAGTCACACTCTTTTGAGGTCAGCATCTTTTTGTGAGAGCAAAGCTTTCTGAGAAGAATGGCTTCAGTTTTCAGATGGTGTTGTTTCTGTATGTGGGCCACCATACCCGTCTGCACTGATCATCAGTGTAATGCAAATATTCAAATCCTATTTGGGAACTCCTGCTACTGACACTCAGCTTTACTCCTCATCTGCTCACTTGAATAGAAGTGATACAAGAAATAGATAGATATAAGATATATATATATAAGGAAGAATCTAAAATTTCTGATAGCATCACGAAGCTCATGTATCATACAAAATGTATGTGTTATGATTCTAGACTTTAGTTTTCATACATTGTCACTTTTTAAGATATAAAGCCGCTGTACAGCCATTGTAGCTAAATTGTTAAAGAATACGTGTGATTAAGGAACTGAACATATGCTATATTGCATGATACTAATTTTCTGTCTTGGTTTTTTTTTGTTGTTTTTTGTTTTTTGTTTTTTTTTTTTTGTTTGTTTGTTTTGTTTTTTTTTGTTTTTAATCAGGAAGAGATACTTGGAAAAAAAGGATGTAAAATTTTCCTCATGCTGTAGATTGGAATCATTTCGGTTTTGCCATTATAGAATCTGAAGGTTGCATTGTAAACAAAGCATTTTTTCCATATTCCTTTGATATTAGAGAGGTATTAATTTGGGTCAAAGATAGAAGATACTAAAAAAACAGCCTCTATGAAAAACATGCAATTTTCACTTTAGTTTTAGAAGCAAAGACATAGATAAGCAATGATGCAATTATTTGATATGAAATCCATTTCCTAGAATAGACCCAGAAGTACAAAACTTCATCACTGGAAAGAGAAGGAAGAAATTGGTGTGTGTGTTACTGTGTTCCATATGTATGTTCAACAATAAAGCTAATAAATTACGTAGAAATAACATTGAACAAAAAAAGGCTAAGAAATGCTAAGAATGTTTTTGGTGCTGAACTACGCTCCTGACCTGTCTACAGTATGGCAGAATTCTCATTAGTTCTCATTATGTGAGTTAATATAATTAGCAGTAATGTTGTTGTGCTGTGATGCCCTAAGGATGTATCAAGGCAAGGTTTAAAGGGAGAGGTAAGAGAGAATTCTGAGTGAAGCAATACAGCTGGAGAAAGCAGACAAGGCTTTTGGCACACGTGAACTTCCTGAGGCCTGAAGACAAACATCAGCAAAGTTGAGCTTTATTTTGTAACCTCCAGAAAGGCTCTTATGCCAAGGATTCATCTATTTTTTTCAACTGTTTTACGTCACCTAGTGAAAGCTGTTACCTCTCTGTAAGCACATCAGCAGGCTTACTAAACAGGCACTGAGTGGAGATTTATCTGATACCAACCATGAGACACAAAAAATATTTCCTGCTATAAAATTCCTGATCTATCTTCACTGCCAGGTATGGACTGCATCATAACTCCCACTTTCTTAAAAAGAAGGAATTGAAGTAAAGAGATAATACAGTCAGCTTTCTATCTGTAAAGACCCACTCACTCCAAATGGTACTGCAGGTATCAAATAGGTAGAGGTAGCAAACGTATCACAGTAAAAATATTTCCAAGCAGTAGATTATCTTTGCTGCTTGACCATCATTACGGGTATGCATTTCTTCATTTCTTATCGCTTGTCCAACTGAGAAAGTCTACTGTAAAAAACAGTTTATACATTATTCAAGTTTAGTCAACTAATAGAGTAGATTGACCTTGTCTCCTATGAAAAGAAGCAACTTTTTCTTTCTGGTAGCTTTCAGAAGAATAATGGCTGTGGTGATAATGAATAGCTTATTCATATTTCATATGTGAAATACCAACAGCGTGCTAATTAGGGAAGGTCAGAGCACATGGGAATAAAATGTGAACCTCTTAACCTTGAATAACGATTAAAGAATTTTCATCTTTTGTTAAGAAATTCTAATCGGGTTTGGAATGGGCCACTGGATGTTCTCCTTTGTGTACCATCCCCCAAATCCTCCTCTGTCAGAGCTATTTCCTTGCCTGGCTGGAATGCAACTGAACCAAAGAGCCACATGTGCTCTTAGGTGTCCTGAATGCCTCTCAGGTGGCTTAAGTCATTGTGAAAATGAATAGAATCAAAGGAGAAATATCTGTGTCTCCCTGGAAAGAGAGAGAATAAGAAGACCAAAGAAAAATGTTACAATACTGGCTCTAGGCATTTGGCTCTGCACTTCCCGTCATCCATTTTGCCTCATGCAGGACAGAGCCATTTCTACGGGGAAGCCCAGCCAAACCTGGAGCCCCTTCCAATCTTGGGGAGGACAAGATGCTGTGCTGTTGCTGGCAACAAGCTGTCTCCTCCCTGAGGGTGGTGGAATAGGGCTGGACTCTCCCCCTCTAGAACATAACTCTGCTTTATGGCCACTGAGGCAGAAAATTTGTAATCCGTTCAGAGGGAGAGAAGAAAGTCATCCAGCTCATGGTAGTTAAGAGCAATTATCATTTTTAATCAGCAGTGTCACCTGCTTGGACATGTTATCTGTGCCAAAAAAAGGTCATTTTCCCTGAAATAGTCCAGCAGATGTGACACTTAAGTTATTTTCCTTGAAATGGATGCAAAAGTTTGAAAACATCTTTTGTTCATGCTTCAGAATCCCATATCAGAATAATTTTATATTTTCAGTCTAGGGCTGTGTCGTTTTCAAAAGCTGGAGAAAATCTGCTATTTTGGAATCATCTGAGCATGAAAATTGTAATTTTTACACTCTAGGAGGTCTGATGTAACTCCCATTGATTTTAATGCAAGCTGGACTGGATACTAAAAAATTCTGATGTCTTTTTGTATTTTAATTGACCAAAAGTGGCAAGGATTGTAGTTTCACTGATAGTAAATGTTGTAGAGCAGTCAATCTTCACACAGAAATGTAAAGGGGCCAGTCTGGAAATGATAGGCATGTAATAAAAAGAGTCACAAGCCTCTAAAAGAGGAGTGACAGGGGTTTCTTTTTCTTTTTTCCTAGATTAGTAGAGAGGCTGAAACAGGAAACTGATGGAGTCCATGAAGATGTAATGAAAGTGACGAACAGCAGTAGAAGAAGGAGAAATTCTATCCCTGGAGAGGTGAGTGGAAAAAGAAAAGCAAACATTTTCTTCCCTCTTTGTCTACTGCCTCTAATTCAGGTGATTTTTCTTAGAATGGAGGAGTTTTTACATCCAGATGGCTTACAATTCCAGAGCTGAACCCAAAGAGATATAAAGAAGAAAATGAAGATTGATCTTTTGTCAAACTGTAAGCTGTATATCCCGGCTTGCAGACATTTCAGCAGTCCAGATCTCAGACTGGCACCTTGTTCCACCTCCACACAAAGCTAAGTCATTTCAGAGGTGTGTGGATTGGGAGTGGGCAGGTTATGACGGGAGTGAGAACTGCTTAATTCAGTCCATAGATGAAATAGCTTGCAGAAAGTGCAGAGGTTAATTAAAATTGTAATAGTAGCAGTCTTAGTAAGCAGGTTGCAGCTTTCAATTAAATGTGTGGCTGTGGGCAGGTTGTTTATGCTTCTGCTATTGTCTTGCATCAAAGAGTGCCCTGAAATGCCTGAGCAGTGGGTCCCGCTATGCTATCTCCTGTACAGAAACAAGCTGAGTGCTTATAGAAAGAATTGAAGAAAAACTGGTTTCTGACTCACTGTATTAGGATCATCATAAGAAGAGCAGAGGGGAGCCAGGTCATCTGGCAGATGTGGGCATTGCAGGAGGCTGTTCATTCTAACCTGTACAAAATTGTTTCTCCTTTGCCTGAAGGTTGTTCCTGGCCAGGAGGAAAAGGAGAAGCAAGAGAGAAAATGCCAAAAACAGTGTACTCTGGTTCTATCTCCCTCAGCTGGGTGATCCTCGAGGCCTGTATCTAGGAATCAATTAATGTTGCCTTAAATAGACTATCAGGATATATGCTCCTTTTCAGTTTCCCTTCTCCCTCCTCCACCAGTACTGCCAATAGTGGATAGTGAGTTTGATATGTGGAAAAGAGATCCTGACTAGATTAACCTGGTTTTTGGGCTAACTTTCTCTGAGATGAGAACGGTTATCATAAGGTAATTAATTCACCTCCACAGAGGCTCCTTACTCATGTCAAAATGGAAGTATTTTTGACAGAGTTCAGTGAGAAACTTAAGGTTTTTCCTTTTGGCAGTATAGCTGGAAACAAAGTAAAACAAAACACAACAAGCAAAAGATGTTAAAATATTAAGAGGCATTCAGAAAAGACAAAGGAGAGTTTAATTAAAACAGGAAGATTTTGAGCTACATTTTCAAAGTGGCCTGAAGCATGCATGGAGTCTGCTAACTTTTTTTTTTACTCATGGACACAAGAAAAAGCCTGAGAGAATCACATGCACAACTTTGATTTTCACTTGAGTAGTGCAAGGTAGTGTACAAAGGCCTGGGCACAAAAGGAAAAGTCTATCATTTAGGTGTACAAAGGATGGTCGCGAACTACTGTGTTTGATCATGGGGGCATAGGCACAGAAAAATAAAGGAAGCATTTTGTAAAACTGAAATTTGGCAGATGAATAATTTATGCAAAAAAAAAAAAAAAAAAAAAAAAAAAAAAAAAAAAAAAAAAAAAAAGAAATCTATGCAATATGTGTGAATAACCATTCTGTAAATGACACTGCATGCGAACTGCTGAGTTACAGCCTCAACCCCTGATTGATCACCTGAGGCAAGCAATGAGTCAGCCACGGGGGAAGCACAGGTGAAGGCAATTCACCTGTGCTGCCCCTCCTAGACCTATTTAAGAGCTGGTTATGGGGGGGGGGGGGAAGGGGGGATCTCTTCTGCAGATCCACTTTGCTGGAATTTTGTGAGTGAGTCCAGGGTACGGGTAAGCTTTCTGTCAATTCTCTTTTTGTTATTATAATCTGCTTTGCCAAACTCTCTTGGTTATTTTGAAATTATAACATCTTAATATTCATTGATTATACAGACACTTAACAATTATCCTGGAAAACAAAGTAACAGTAGACCTGAAAATCTCAGTTTAGCATAGTGCAAGGAAAATTGCAATGTTATTTTAGAGTGAATGACTATTTCAACAATCTTGGAACAAATAAAATCTCTCTTAAGTGGGTTTCAAGAACATATTCACAGTGGTGAGATCTACTACTGCTTCACAGGTTTTGAACCTATTTCCATATTCCCAAGCCTTGTTGTAACTGCTATGGAATGGAACAAATATGAGGAGTATGTTTTGAGTCTGACTGAAAAAGTTAGAGAATCTGACAATTAAAAAAAAGAAAAGCTATTTATGTTTAGTAAGCAGAATTAAGGGGCATGGGGAAAGTAGAGGAGACCATGCAATCAAATAGAGCAAGAAAGGGGCAGTTGCTGATTGGATGGATGTATTCTAGGTGTTAAATGTCTTACAGTCTGGAAGAATCCCTGATATCCTGCCCTGGAGCACTCAGCACAGGAAGGATGTGAGGCTGTTGAAGCAGTCCAGAGGAGGGCAGTGAAGATGATCGGGGGATAGAGCATCTCTCCTGTGAAGAAAGGCTGAAGGATTTGGGCTTGTTTTGTTTGGAGAAGAGAGCTCTGGGGAGACCTCACTGCAGCCTTCTAGTACTTGAATGGAGTTTACAAGAAAGAAGGAAACTGATTTTTTACATGGGCTGGTAGTGATAGGTCAAAGGGGAATGGCTGTAAACTAAAAGAATGAAAATTTAAGTTGGATGTTAGGAAGAGATTTTTTTTACTCAGATAAGCTCTGGAACAGGGTGTCCAGAGAGATTGTGCGTGCTCTATTTCTAGAGGCATTCAGGACCAGATTGCATGGGATCCTGGGCAGCCTGATTTGGTGAGTGGCAACCAGACCATGGCAGGGATTTTACAACTAGTTGATCTTTAAGGTCTAAACTATTCTATGAACCATTCAGAAAGTGTGGAAGTTGATACTGCAGTTATTCTTCAGGCCCATCTTTCATGTCATTGAAAAGAGTGTTTGCCCAGTATAGTATGAAGTAGATTCTTTCTTAATTCTTGTGGAAATGTTAGAAAATGACACAATTTTTTAAATTCCTGAATAAGCCAACCTTTTCAGTCTTAAAGGCTTAAGAACAGAAGATTAGAACAATTTTTTTTTCTAAACTATCATGCTACCTATCTAAAATACCTAAACTACCTAAATTAACTATCTAAACTACCAAGATTCTAGCTTCAAGCTGAATTAAAGAATGAAAAAAAAGTATGTGTAATAGAAAAATGCATATTATTCAAAGGGAAGAGGACAGTATACTGCTAGAATGTGGTTTAGTTAAATTTAGGTATGTTAGAAATAAATTACTGTGCTACTGCTAAAAGCAAAAGACATCCAGTAAAACAGTACTTATTATTTACTGCACCTCCATAAAAATGACTGTTCTGAAGTGGTAAAGTTTGATAATGGCATCAACCTCTTTTACTGGCATACTGTAATTATATTTTTGTAATAATTCATTTACCAACCAGCTGGTGATGAAAGCTGTTATTTCCAGCCAAATGAAAAGTGCTCTGATTGAACTGAATGGCTTGGAATAAAATGTTTCTCCCTCATCAGTTTGTGAACCTACCTAAGAGTCAAGGTCCACATTCAGCAAACAGTTGCTTAGATACCCAAAGGAATAAACCATAATCAAGGGTCCCAGTTTCCCATTGTGAAAAATCCTCACTCTCTACTGCATCCTAAGGAGGGGAAAAATTATGTATACGCTGCCTGTTTTGCCCCACAGATGTTATGATATTAACAGCAGGCCATTTACAGCCCCCAAGTGAATGTCAAGGCTTTTGTTTGCATGCAGGGAGCACATGATAGCCATGGAGCTGCCAAAAGTAATCTGTAAGAGGCTTGGGGTATTGCTGACATCTGGGTGCTGGCACAAGGATGAGAGCCGGTAAGATGGCTGCTGTGGCTCTGCGCTCGCACTGGAGTCTCCTTCTGTTACTTTCCTTTGCAGTAAACAGGAGGGAAGAGCGTATTGTTTTTGCAAGTCATATCACAAAGCCCTTCTCTGATCATCAAAATGACTCAATCAATATGTTGCTTTTCCACTGCTGGGTGAATGTTCGCTCTTTAATATTTAATAGATTCCTGGCAGTTGTGCATCTGGTGTCCTCAGCCAGGAGTCCGTGGTTGCCAGGCTCCCTTCCTGTACCAATATCTCTCACACTGTAGGGCAGCATCCACCATGGGAGGTATTTCCTTTCTCAGAAACTCTCTCTTTTGCCACCTACTTTATATTCACCCATCTTTTTCTTAGCCCTCAAGACTTAACTGCTGCCAGATGAAGGCTCCTCAGATGCAACCCTTCCTAGCTGCATTTTCACTACAAGAAAGACATTGAGGCCCTGGAATGTGTCCAGAGAAGGGCAATGAAACTGCTAAAGGGTCTGGAGAACAAGTCTTATGAGGAGCAGCTGAGGGAGCTGGGATTGTTTAGTCTGGAGAAGAGGAGGCTCAGGGGAGACCTCATTGCACTTTACAACTTCCTGAAGGGAGGTTGTGATGGAAAAAGGGTCTGGCCTCTTCTCCCAGGCAAATAGTAGGACCCGAGGAAATGGCCAGAAGTTGTACCAGAGGAGGTTTAGGTTGAACATTAGGAGAAACTTTTTCTCTCAGAGGGTGGTCAGACACTGGAATGGCTGCCCAGGGAGGTGGTGGAGTTGCCGTCTCTGGCAGTGTTCAAGAGGCGCCTGGATGAGGAGCTACGAGATATGGTTTAGTAGCTTGTGGTACAGGGAATGGGAGGGTGGTTGGACTAGATGATCTTGCAGGTCGTTTCCAACCTTGCAATTCTATGATTTTCCAGGCAGTTCAGAATTTACTTCACAAGCTTGAAAGTCTGGCTGTGCCACTTGGAGCAGCATTAGCAGCCAAACCCCTCCCAGTAAAATTTCTCCCAATCCGCATGTTGTTGCCTAGAACTGGTGAGGTTATGAGCCTGAAGAGTGGGGATGTGAACAAAAAAGAAAAAGGAAAAACTTGGATGGAGAGGGGTTTCTTGAATCAGTGTTGTTGCAAAAGCCAAAGTTTTGGACACTTTCTGCAGTGATACAACCAATGGAAAGACTGAGAGAGCTGGCTTCAGATAAGGTCTTATACGTTTGAAGGAAACAAAGTACATTTTATGTGCTCTTTATAAATTCCACAAGTAGCTGGCCTCAATTGTTCCTGTAATATTTTACTAATAAAATCCTCTGTGCATACTTCTCAGAAAAAATCAGGATAAAAAATGGCACATAAACCAGTTGGCTTTGGAGTTTGTTCACCATATACACACACTTATGAGAAAGGTTTATGACATGCTTAGGAATTCTCTTAAAGAAATAATGTGTAAAAAAAAAAATAAATAAAAATAAAAATAAAAGTTATTCTCAAGTGAAAACCATAAAAGCTAGAGGGTAGGTATCCATGCTCCAGAGGTCTAATTTTACTGAAATTGATAGAGTAACTGTGGATTTGCAGCAATGTAACCTGACAAAATTTAATGCACACAGCTTAAACAGTCTGTAAAATGTCCTAGAATACTTCGGAACAATACATGTTGAATTATTTCTGCTGCATGGGAAAGTACACTTGAAAACTACTTTTCTAGTGAGTCAAAGATTTAACTGATAAACTATGTGTTCACTTGGAACTAGAAGCTAACCTGAGTGTCATCAGTGAGAATAATCCTCTCTTCAGTGACAAGATTAGATCTGTATGGGATAGATTTATTGCCACTGATGAGATCTCAGCCAGAGCACAGGCAGAGTTCAGGCAACCAATGATTCCTAAGAGTATATGGAAGTATACAGCATATAGAAGTAAACAGTGTATGTGTATATGCTTTTACACACACACACACACACACATCACTGAAGTGCAGTTCTTTTTTATCACCAGTTTTTGAATTTGAAGTAAACTGTAAACTGAAGATTTGATGTATAAAACATAACTATGCAAACACAGTAAGATTTTGGTTTTTTTCTTGTATTATACATGGTCTGGTTCAGGACCGTTTTTTCATCATTTTTCCATTCATTTGCCTACCTTTCTGGTAGAAAATAGAATTTGCTTTTGATTTACATAACTTGGTATGCCTTTTTATGCCTTTTCTGGCTCCTTGGTCTCATATGTTCCCTGCAACCTGGTTCCTAGCTGGTATCCTGATACTCTAAGGTTTCTCTCCATGCCTATTTTGTTCTCTAAGACCAGTGACAGCTGTCTCTGTAACTCACTGCGATTTCCCTCTGGAATAATTTCCCCAGAAACACTTCAAATCTAAAGTGTTGACTCCAGACCAATTTAAGAACTACTCCTGGTACTATGCTGTGTAATATTATCTACAACTTCATTTGTTGTGACTTAGTGGAGGAAGGGCTAATTCTGGAATCCAGAACACTTTTCCACACTTTTGTTCATCCTGCACAATCCTACAACACAGCTCACATTAGAGTGTTTGCTCCCCACCATGATATCTGCTCTGACTTATCCCCTGCTTGTGGTATGTGGAGCTGCTGTCTGTCCTGCTCTTGTTGGTTCTACAGCTGGTAACTGTGACTCTGCTGAAATTGCACTGCAATTAATAATACTGTCCTTCATTCATGTTTGTCCACTTCTGAATGTTTTTCATTTGTGCTTCACATGTGTTACTCTGCAGTACAATGTGTTGCAATAGCCAGGCAATGTCACAAACCCCTGAGCTGCTGCCTCATTTGCAGGATGGTGTGTAGTCCTAAACTGCAATGCAGTGATTGCTCCTCCTTACATTGCTTGTGTGCAGTATCCAAGAGCTGAAATTAAGTGATTACTTCATTCTATAGTTCTGGAACATTATGCCTGTATTATATGAACAGGCTGTAAGAAGTTACGATTATCGGTTTTTAGATGCAAAAGAAGCTGTGATAAGTGGATGGCTTAGAAGCAGAAAAGAACTTTTCTTCCTAATGGGGAGCAGAGGAGTTTTGATCACTCTAAGACTGCTCATTCAAATATCATGTGTTTGGTGCTGCTTGCTAGACAGGATTTCAGGGTATAGTGCAACAATTTTTTTTTTTTTCTTAAAAAAAGGAAGTTATTTCTACATTTTACCAGAATTTTTCTTTGTACTCAACCAGACTACCAAAGCCATTCTGTAGAAAAGCATTTCTTTGGACAAAGAGCTGTGCAAATCCAATATGAACTGTCCTATGCTTGTACACCTGTCTGCAGCAACCTTAATGGCAAGAACAAGAAGAATCACAAGTTTTGCAGCGTGCCACTGGACAAGAAAAAAGGTAATGGGAAATGATTTTATTATATGGGCCTGTGTAATTGTAATTACAATTAGCCACACACTTAATGCTCCCCACTATGTTGCCTTAGCTGGGTATATATATGTCTGTCTTACCTACTACTACTGGAATAATAGATGAAAGCTTCTAACCATCTTTTCATTGCCATGATCTGCTGGGAAAAACAAAGCCAATCCCCACGGCATCACAAGAACTGTACCAGCCATAACACCAAGATCAGCTTCATCTGCAGTCTATTACCTCTCCACCTGACCTCATTGTAGAAAACCTCCCAATAAACTCACTAAGATGCACTAGGATGTGATGTAGGATACAGGATGTGGGATATGAGATATTGGATGCAGCTGATGTAATATGTACTGCAAACTACAGCTACATACTAGGTTTCCCTGCCAAATCTCTCTCCACAATCACAAATGGGGTCCAGAGGGGTAAAAATCCTCATTTTTGGATTAAGACCCCTTTCTCCTCATGTGGAAGCATTAAAGGAGGCATTGTGACTCACAGTGGTATCTTGTCTGAGATAGGATAGGGAGAGACTAAAAAGGAAATGCAATGAGGAATTAATGTTTGCTTTTGCTCTCCAGTCAACACAGATTATATATATATAAATTTACAGAAAGTGTACTACAAAAGATATTTCTGGGAAATTTTAGAAAATATTATAGTATAAATTTTTAACTAAAAAAAAAACAAAACACAGCACAGTATCATTATTTGACAGAGAAAAGTAAGAAGGAGGTCATCCATGACTTGCAAACATTATGGCAGAAGTACTGCTGTAATTTCTTTTCCCATCTATTACTGACTATACTGTTTAGCTTTACAGTAAATCCAAATCAAAACTTGATCCTATGGAAAAAAATAAAGGAGTAGATTTGAGGGATAAAAAAGGTTTTCCTCTCTTTTCTAGAAGTTGTATGAGCTGCCATCTGCATAGTGTGGTGCAGTGATAGGGGCTGACCTGCTGGCATTTTGGTAGCCCTCGCTGCTACTTTGACTGACAGCATCTGTGGACAACATTGACCATAATCATTCAACGAAAGGGAAGACAAGCATGGAAAGCTGAGCTTGGTCTCAACCCTCAATTCCTCATCTCCAACACACGTTAGAGATGACATGTCCAGCATGTCTACCTATGCCATCTCACTGTTCACTTCTGCCCTGCTCACCAGCAAACCCAAAGCATGGCTTAACCAAAGCACTGTTAGTGTCCTCTCTCCTGCAGGTTCTGGCTTGCTTTGGATTTGGTCAAGGTGATTTTATGTGTGGACAATTCTCTCCATGGGGCTAGACAAGCAACATTATGTTCATTTAATTTTGGCCATAACTCAGATCTCTGGGCTGTTTTATCTCTCTAAAATGTTGAAACCCCGTAAATCTTTTCTCTAGAAATCTCAAAGTTGTATTTTTCAGTCTTTCCAAGACTGGTTATACTGTCTGTTTCACTTATTCTCCTGTAAAAGTGAATGAATTATACATTAAAAACAGTTGAGCAACCATTCTCATGCACCACAACCACATTTTTTCATTTGATGTCTGGCCTAGCAGGCACCTACTTCACCATTTTAGGCTGGTCTTAACTCTTTTGCATTGGCAGAGGTGGGAGTAAGGCTACAAAGCTGAGACCAGGATAGGTACAGTGTACATATGACCACATCAAATAGGTGCTACAAGGGATAATAAGAAAGATCATCACACAGATTACATGGGAGATGATAGGGGAGACATATACATACTGGAAAGAGTCCAGCAGAGAACCACTAGGATGATCAAAGTGATGGAGCACCTCTCCTATGATGAGAGGCTGAGAGAGCTGGGAGAGGTGAAGATAAGGAGCTATCTTCTCAATGTGTATAAATACCTGAAGGGAGCATGCAAAGAAGAGAGATCTAGGCTTTTTTCAGCAGTGTCCTGTGCCAGGACAAGAGGCAATGGGCACAAATTGGAGCAAAAGATGTTCTCTTTGAACACTAGGAAGCACTTCTGTGATGTGTGGTTAATGGAGTAATTGCACAGGCTGCCCAGAGAGCCTGTGGAATCTCCTCCTTGGAGATCTTCAAAGCTGCCTGGATGTGAGCCTGGACACCTTGCTTTGGGTGGCCTTCCATGAGCAGTGATGGACCAGATGACCTCCAGAAATTCCTTCCAAACTCAGCTATTCTGAGATTTTTTATACATAGTTCATCCTATATCAGGCTCAGGATAGGCTGTCTGTGCCTAGTGAAGTCCATATCATAGCTCTGCACAGGTCACAGGACATGTTGCAGTAACAGTATTTGTTTAGTGCAAATGGAAAATGCATCTCTCTTCAGCATAGGGAGTCACAGGGAGCTTCATTAAAATGAAGAATATTCTGTAACAGCCACGTTATAATGGTCATAGAATTGTCACTTGGGAAACTCAATTGTCAATTGAAACTGTCTTTATTTGAATTAGGATTTATAGAGCCTGTTTGCTTTCACTCTTTGGCACTTTCTTGACAGTATGGAAAGAGTATCCTGCTGTGCAAGGAGACACTGTTTGCATACATGCTGACACACAGTGAATTCTTTTTAATCTTGGCACCTATGAATCATTAAAAGCTTTGGTGTTGAGGCTGTCACAACTGGGAAGTGTAGAACTGGGATTGTAATCAAAAATTGCCTTTTTATTTCCCAACCAGCACCACTTATGAAGCGTTAAATACTCACTGTAGCACCAATGATTTTGTTTTTCTTTTGTTTCCAATAGAAAGAAAGTTTCTCCCAGGTAATCAGCACCTTATAACCTCTTCCTGTGATGCTGCAGGCCTGTATTTGCACTGCTGATGTCAATCCAGCAGGAATGATGGGTGTGTGCTGGATTACTTCAAATGTTTCCAAAGGCTGGCAGTAAGGAAGAAAGCATCTCACTCTACTTATCTGTGTGAAGTTCTTGATAGCCATCAACAAACTAAAGAAAGAAATTCAGAACAGGCATAGGAAGGAGAAAAGTGTTCAATACGGACAGCTTTGCATTTAAAATATTATCACTTGCTTCAGTTGAAGTAATGATTCTTTTAAGCTCAAAAATAATTGATTTGCTCTGTTGTGCTTCTTTTACAGAAAGAAAACTTTTCCTGTAGCAGTTTATCCTCTTGTTTAAATACATTTCCCATATAATAAACACTTCTTTGAGCACATGGATAACAATATGACTAAGATTCTTGCAAGCCTGTCCAAAACCTGCTCTCAGCCTCAAAATACAGTCTCACAAGCTCTGAGTGTTTACTGACTTAGAGGGGAAGGATTTGGTCCTGAAATGATTCTAGGATGGATGTTTTCTATCCTCGTGGCAAAGTACTGTAGTGCTTTTGATAGGCTCCTTGGTGTTAGAGATTTCCTACAGTGCGCATATTCCAAGGCCTGGTACTTTTGGAAAACACCATTTTAAAGACCCTTGTCAAGTACTTTGACCTTCCTTCCTCTCACAGTTTTTTGGGTTTTTTTTTTTCATCTCCTTTGCTTCTTTCAAAGCTGAAGATATTTTAAAACCATGTAACAACCAACCAGCACAGCAGAAATAGCAGTCGAAAGAATTCAGGCCTGTGGGAATGTAAAGGCATCTTCTGGATATATAAACCTCAAATAAGAGACAACACAAGTAAAGGCTGTAGAAGCAGCTGAAATATAGTACTTCAGAGAAATGTATAAAGGAGAGGCAGAGAAGTGGGGGTGAGGCGAAAATAACCAATAGCCTTCTTTATTCATTACTGTTCTGCATCTAATGTGATCTTCCCACAGACTGAGGTATGAGATAAGCTGGCACCAACAACAATTCTTTCTATAAAGCAGAAATCCAATGATTTCACATACCACCAACTAAATCATGCTTGTGAAGTGATGCAACAGACTAGATTTCTTTTCTCTTTATTTTTGTCTCTCCTCAGTCTCTCTCTAGTACACATACACATGTGCTGACAGTGCAATCCTGGTACAGTGAGGGGTCAGACCCAGTTGTTTCTGGACACATGTGCATCTCTCAGCTCATGGTCTGCCCTTTGCAGCTGCCAAGAATTTCTCAGGGCTGACCGTAAGCAGTGCAGACCCAAAAAAATCCAGAAATGCCTGGGAGCATTCTAATCCTTTGCTTGGAGGAGCAAACAGGCTCTGCCAAGTTCCTACTCAGACACGGCCATGTGCCACTTTCTGTGGTAGTCGCGCAATTCTTGAAGGGGCAGAATTGAGCTGTATCCCATAAGGCAGCCCCTGTGTGGCTGCAGTTGTCATGAGGCTGACTGGTGGATGCTCCCACGAGGGTGCTACAATGACAGATGGAGGAGGGGGTGTGTGTTTCTTAGATATTCTCCAGTCTTTCTAAATATTTGCTTTTTCCATTTCTGAGTACTAAAGCATTCATGTTTTAACTCAAGTCAGCCATGAATTACTACAAGATTAAAAAAAATCTCCTTTATAGAACTACTCCAGGAACAGAGCAGGGTTTTACAAGCAGGTATTAAAGCCTCTTTTATGCTAAGCTGATACGTCCTGAGTGGACCTATTTGCAAGCAATGACTCCTGTGCACTTTGTAGCCACCAATACACCTCTTTCCTGAAAAACTGCTAAGCCCTCCTTGCCCCACTGGCAGAAATCTACCTTAATCAGACACATCACTTAACTCAATGAAAAGCTGCTAGATATTGAGGCAAAATTTTCTCCATTAAAGATTTTTCCTGAGCTGGGTTGACTGCTGGGTTGTATCTCAGCTCTCACCAGCTCCACAAAATCATACTCTCAGATCCCTCCCTGCAGTTATCATTGCTGTTTTTGATGGAATTCTCTTCCCTTTGTTTTTTCACTTTTCACTTTCAGTAGACAAGACAATAAATGCACTTACCAGTAAGGGAGGTCAATCTTTACAGTGCACCATTACATTTGATTTAAAATTACAGTAACATCTATGGTTCCTACAAACTAGGAGCTAAAAGTAAAATGTTTATTAAGTAATTCTTATAATGTATAACATCTATATTACATTAGCATATCACATAAACGTTAGCTACAAGTAACAACTTTTTAGCTGCATTTAGCATATTTTTTCATACGATAAGATTAAAGCTTTTTGAAAATTCACATATGAGAAGAGAATTCTGTAAGATGCCAACTGAGGAAACCTGTAATGTTGAAATGTGATAACAAAATTGCAAACAACATTAAGTTAAAGAAAATGTAAAATTATGATGATAAATAATTCTTTATATCTAATTTTGTTAATGTTTTAAAACATTAAAACACGAAAGAGTCATATCTCATTCATGACAATTTTTAATAGAAGAATAGCGTTCATAAAGACGAAAGACTAGGATAGTCAGCTATAGTATTTGATTCAATTATATCGTATAGAGACCAAACCTTATTTCTTTTCTCTCATGAAACATTTCAGATAGCAGAATGGCTGATTTGTACAGACACAGCTGTAGAGTAGACAAGTACCTGCTTCTTTATCCATATATTTTTTTTTTTGTTGTAGCAACAAGAGTAATTACTATGGTATAATGTTAGCGTGCTTCGTTTTATTGTTACTGTAAGTAGCAGTTTGAGTAACGTGCCATATAATTTCAGAATGCTACGAGCAAATGGAGAACAGAATTTGGAAAACATAATCTCTGGCAAAACTAATGTTAATCATGGCTAATGTTATTTTATAGATTTTTGAGTTTGGGTTCCTACTACCTTTATGTTTATATCTATAGTACAAGGTCATGTACAGCACTTTATAACTGTGAAAAAAAAAATCAGAGACATTATTTACTTATGTAGAAAAGCCACTTTCTTATCAGTACACCTCTGCGAAAAGCTACATGCGTAACAGCTCAGAAGAGCTCTAGAGAAAATGAAAATATGACCAAGCATATCAACTTATCTGTGCCGTTATCCATACCAGAAACTGTGGCACCTCAGTGTTTTCTAGCATCCAAATTGCACTTTCAGAAAGTGGTGAGCAGCAAGATATCTCTGCGCAGCAATCCAGAAGGTTTATGATGCATCTTCTGGTCTCTCTCTGGCCCATTTCCTTAATCATGAGGCTGATTACTGGGGCAATTTTTAACAGTTCCTGTTACATTTCATTTTGCTTTCCTTGGAAACCATAATGAATCTTTGCTTTAGATCCCCTCCAACCTCTAAATCAGCTACTCTTCTCCCAGGCAGCCGTGGGCACAGAGAGGACCTTGCGAGCACTGTTGTGTTAAAGGCACTGGAGTGTGAAGCAAAATAATTAAATGGGCTGACACAGTTTTCAGAGAGGCTTTCTGATCTATCTGTGACAATTAGGCAGCCTCTAAGTGCTCTATAGCCACATACAAGCAAGGAGAGTCTGTTCAGACATAGCCTCAGAGTTTCACCCTGCTGAAGATACTTTTTCCCCTCAAACCCTTTTTTGCTACTTTCAGAGGAGGAAGAGGGCTGGGAGCTCACAGAAGGCTCCTGCTA